AGCGGTCACACTATGTTAAGGTAGCACAGTTCGCAAAAGTTAAATTGCTGTCTCATCGATGGGTTTCTTCCTGGCATCTGCCTAACCTCTATTCCCTACTTCGCACGGAGGAAGTTTTCCGCTGGGACGGTATCACATTTAAAAACGCTAGTAAGTGACTCGAAAACGAAACGGTGCGCAATATCCGCCGAATACGTAGGACGTGCAATCCTGCTCACTTTTGGATGTTAACAAAACAGATTTGTAGTGGTGCAGCAAATGAAGTACACAGATATTATGCACAAGGGCCGAAATTCTACCAGATTTCTTCGACTTAGAAGTGAACAGCCAGGTATCTGGAGAGGGATGGGCTTGAACTCCCAATCAGCAGCCAGTACCAGAACCCTTGTGTCAGCTCATGTATAAAAATTGGCGTAGCGTCCATTTGTCACAAGTCACTAGTGCGAAGCAAGAGGGTTAAAATATGGCCACATTTGGCAGGCTGAGAAACAGTCAAAAGACCGAATCGATAATGAGAACGTTTTCCTGTCAGCCCCAACCATGGTTGTACGAGGACTGTGATACTGCCAGGGCGCCCACACTTAGACAGGAGGACGATTAGGGTCCCCAGCCAAAGCCTTTGGCTCAAAAGCTTACCGCAAGGCAGCGGTGTTTGGCGGGAAATGCAAATGCATTACCATTTCTACGGAACAAGTCGCCACATGTTCCAACCCCCAACCTGGAGGGCCAGGAGACTGTGTTCGTCAGACCTCTAACCATTGACCAACCTGGTATGAGAGACTCTGTGGGTGTCGCGGGACACTCTCCAGTATAGCTCAATGGATCGCTGAGGTGCGCAAACCGTCACACCACGGTAAGGTGCAGTCTGTTCGTTACGGAATGGTGACAAAAAGTCCCCAATGCAGTCGCCGTACTCGGTTGACAGATCAACTGCCACCTGATAAAAAGCCAAGGAGCTGCCAACTCGCGTCTGTCGCAGGTTGACTTGTTGACCGTCAATTTTGATCCACAACAGATCTTGTTCATAAAATAAACTGCTCACAATGTTGCTGAAAACTCTTCGACAATCCGCTACTGGTTTCGCCCTTGAGGCTCATTAGGTAGGGGCAGTCCCTGAATTTCCGTCAACTTTATGTTTTACTTCAGTTTATTCGAAATTTGTCCAGTTTAAGCCTAAGTAAAACTGATGTTGTTGTAAGCTCGGGGACTACGCCTACCTGATAAGCCCCAAGAAGGGCGAAACTGGTTGTGGACTGTCGAAGAGTTTTCAGCAACCTTTTGAGTAGCTTCCTTTATGAAACTAAACTGCGGCAAATCGAATATCGTGCCAACTGAAACATGAAGCGGCCTTTGTGCAGCATATTCAGTTGAAGAACATCATAAACGAGTGATTCAGTTGAGCCTCCCGTGAAAACCAAATCGATATACAAATGAATTTGTTGAAATCTTGTTCATGTTCACGATCCGATAGTGCTTTCTCAGCAGTCCGATTACCCACTACGCTGGAACACAACTGTTCCCCACTATCACAGGACCGATTGTGCGCCCATACTGAATGACTGAGTGGGTGAAAACGGATGGGTGAAACCGCGCTACGCGGTAAGCAAAAACGTTAGCAAATAATAGGCCTATGTAACCCGTAACCAGCATTCACTTGAACAGAAACCTTCGTTCCAACGACTCAAGGGGGTCACTCAGGATATGTTATGCGTTTTTAAGGCGTTATGCCGGATGCTGAACGTTGTATCAAAAACGAATGAACACGAGTGGCAACGTGAACGGAAATAACTGGGGTATTAACATCAGATTTTTTATCAGAACCTGTATGATATCCACACCGTGAGATTCGCTCGCAACCAAGGTTACTCGAGTCTCGCAATTCCGAACCTGTGTAACTGTCCGCCAGTATTTGGTATTTAATGTATATTACACTAAAGAATGCCCATACGATAACTAGAAGCTGAGTCTGGTTCGAGTATCATTATTCAAGCTACGAGGAGCAAACCACTACAAGGTCTCAGTTTTAACTGCTGCTGTCTACCGTATCCAAATTCAGAGCATCTTTAATTAATTATTAGGGGATATTGTTGATTCAGGGCTGTAGCCTTTGACTCCCTTGTTTGCCAGTTCATGCGTATCCTGGTAATTGACTCCTGTTGTATTCACGCGCATCCGAATTTCTGTCAAGAAGGCGCACGCAGTCTGTAGGTTTTACCAACTGCTACAAGGCAAATAATTTGTGCCTCATGTCATCGATGTCGGTCGTTGTTTCGTTCGCTAATTTTGACGGCTGCGTTGCAAACGTTTCATTACCAACCTAGGCGATGTTATCACTATTTGTGGGTTGATATTGTTCATCGATCTATACCAGATTTGGTCATCCGGACTTTCCATGGCTTACGACTGCTGGTTTGGGCAAGTATATGCGCGGGTGCTTTGGTTGGTGGCCCCGATTAAATCAGCTTGTATCCTTTGCCTGAATTACATTCCTGACTGGTAACACCTTCAGGGAAGACCATATGGAGAGAGTGTGTGCCCGGCTTCATCCGAAGCATTCTGTGAACGGGCGGCTTGTTTCATTTCTGTGGTTTCTTCCTGGCTTTTAATACAGGTTTACTTGTTGCAATGGAACTGCCAGAAAACCCTGTCTCAGCTACCGTGATCACCGACTGTCGCAACTGTAGAATCGCTGGACTCTATTTGCCTGTGCACTTTACTATGTGGTGTCGATTGAGAAATGACTGTTTCATATCGACCAAGCCACTTGACTCATCTTTACAAAACTTGGATTTTAATGTGTGTAAGTTAGGGGACGGTCACAACCACAAATACTGTTGTCCCTGAAAAGCAACATTCTTGTGGATGTTTTAAACGTGTAGAAACACCCATTCGAGAGCCCCGACGTCAACCACAGCTTGAGTTGTCCGCTTGAGTTGTCCACTCACAAGAACACTTAGTAGCTTGTCTTAAGAAGAGGGATGGTCTTTTGTCTCTAATCACATTGTCCTTCAGGAGAAATATCTCACCGAACGGTTTTGAATTCAGAAAATCTCATAACTGCCCGTTCCGCAATTTCATGAGACTTTCCTAGATTTCTAATTTCAGTAAACAGATGTGGAACCATTAGACTTGATCGTTTCAGCTGGGCACTCATGTGACATACCGATCCATTAGGATAGCTTACATTGTTGATCGACTGAATGACCAGCAGACACGCACAGGTGGCCATACATGTGGAGCGAATGAGGTTGCTTAGTTAGGATGGCGGTTATAGCCACCATATCTGTGCGTTGCGGATTTTGGGTTTGGATCAATGCCTCTCTGAGTGACTGAAGCGACCTTGGACCACCGTGTCTAGTTCTAGTACTGCTATCAGGATTCTCAACCCTAACCATAGTTTTCCTGACTGGCGTACAGCAACTATTCGTGCTATTGGGGCCAGACGACCGTTCCATACAAATGACAATCAAATGACAATTATCTACACGGTCAAAAATAGAAGCGATCCTAATAACCCAATAACAGTTAAGTGACCATTTCCTTGTCTTGCTCCGCGCTCAGTGATTTTCCTAGAAAACCGAGGGTAAACGCTTCGCTTTTCGGAGGAACGTCAACAATTATACCCAGATTTTTGGCGTTTTTCAATCATATGACAGCTTTACGTTGTTCAACTCTCGCCATAGTCCTTACTGTATTTTCCTTCTTTTGTTCATATTAGGTGATGGATCCAAACACTCTACCATTCCATCTGTTTGCCGTACCAACGAATTCTTCCCAATTCGTCGTTAATAGACAGCCTAAACCGTTCAACCCATCAGCGCAGACCCAATCCGTTGCTCCAAAAGTCAACATTTCATTCCCGTCTGCAAGCTGCTGTCAACCGATGGTTATGGATCCCGCTTTACCTACCATCCATTGGCAACAAGTACCACAGTCCATGACAAGTCTCGGTTCTGTGATGACCACATCATACTACACTGCGCCTCGTCTACAAAGTACAGTGTTACCAACCCCGTGTCAGCCCCCCACATCCAATCAGGTGCGTTGGTAGCCTTGACCTATCTTGTCAGACTATCTCATCGATACTCAGAACCGTTTCATGCTTGTGATTCTATCCTATTTGCTGGGTTGTTCTCCATCGGGATTTGTCCAGGCATAGTGCACGTGTTTGAAAAGGATTCGTCTTGTTGTCTTGAATATCCGGTACCATTTAGCAGTATACATCTGGTGTTCTTTTGTGTTGTCTATGCGGACTTTCATTGAGGTGTGTAAAAGATGGACCAAATGCCCCACGGCTCTTCACAAGTACATTCTAGCGGAAACGAGTAGCATCCATCTACTTTTTCGCTGATTGCAGTATGATTTGAAACGCACACATGTTTGAACAGCTCTATTCTATTCTCACTCGCCAGCCTTTGTCCATTCGTTCACACTGTGTGTACAGGGGTCCCTGGTTAAGATCTAGCAAGATACGCACATCGGTTTAATCCAGTACCTGCTGGATTTCTAGAAAATATCAATGTCCGGCTCGTCGTGTAATTTTTCAGTGTTACTGGCAAGACACCGCGTGGTACGTGACCCTGAGCAATATTCATGGTGACAGCCATAGTACTGCGGTACAACGTCCCACCTTTACTGGCACACTTCGCACCGGCTTTTCTTATCGTCTGTAAACTCCAGGTTATCCAGTAGGTCTCATACTTCCACTGGTTACCATGTAAGATCCTTACCAATACAGATTATCGGGAACGGAGAATCAAAGACCAGCAATTACTAGTTCTGAATTCACAACACGTTAATAAAATCTCTAAACCGAGCAGTGATTTCTCCAGAGCAGTTTGAAGGTATAAGATGCGAGATGTTAACATTTCAAATCGATTTCATCTATCGCAGACGCAAAAAATTAACGAGCCTAGTAACAACCAGGTAATTACGTCGAATAACACATTGCACAGAGAGGAAGTATTGCGGGTCCAATCAGAGGGCAGTCAGACAGCTTGAATGAATGGCTTCTGAAGACAGAATTGAGGTTTCTGTGCAACTTCAGAGGAGGGTGGCAGTTTCGTGTTTTATTACGTAACAGCACAGTGAAAGCACGAGAGGGTCAGCCATCTGGCCTATTCTGGAGGTATGTCTGGCAATCGAGGGCCTCCAACTTGATGTGAATTATAGTGACTTTGACTCGTGCCGAAAGGACCGCAGCGATTGATTTGGAATTTGCCCCCAGGTCCTTTGAGATAAATGCTGATCAGCTCTTTCGATGTAGCCTCACTGGAACTGCAGGTGACATTTGAGGTAGAATGATCACACAGACTTCGAGACCTATTTCAAAACATTATTCCTCGGGTTATCGGGATAGGACGCATCTGAGCTGCTCTATAAATGCGCTTCAAAGTGGACTAAGTTTATGCTTGATTTTGCCTGAGATATGATTGTCCTCCAACCGTAGATACATCACTAACTCCTTTCTAAATAATAAAAATAATCATTCATCTGTAACACCCTTTCGGTGCCTAGCTTTCATGCCACTCGAAGGATGCATGAGAGCTGAGATACTGCCAGGCTGCACAAGACTAGATGGGAGTAGTCGATATGCCGAAGTTGGGTTCGAACCACTGACCTCCCAGTCAGTAAGTTCGCGCTTTATCCACTGAGCTCTCTTGAGCTCCATCTCTTTCCCAGTCGTGGTGTTCAGATTACGTGGAGGGTTTAGTATGCTATACAAGATAATGGCCTTTTCTGGGTAGTCCTTGACTAACAGAGGCCTTTTCAACAAATCTTCACTCGATGGTTGTGGCCGGTTGTACAGCTGAATGTAGCTTTGTAAAATAGTCCTCGATTGTACGCTATCCGAGAAAAATCATTGAAATGGAGATGTTGACCACTCCATGTAGCCTCACGATGGGCAGCGCTTGACGAATTCCCATCCGGACGTCGGATAACTAGTATGCCAAGGAGGTCTAAACTGTCATTCATCTTTCTCTCCTGAGATACAGACAAACTGAAGTGGATATTACTTAAAATGTAAAAGGCAAAGTGAGATGCTGATCGGTGGTAAAACTCAAAATACCGTCAACGTGTCGCTTATACAACGATTGACTCGAATCTCTGGTCCCTATCTTTACCAAAAAGACGTCAGCTATGTAGAACCTAATGGGCTACTCATGACGACAACGTCCAATTTCCTACAAACAGTTCCTCCGTATTCATAGTACATGTTTTCTCTGCACAACAAACGATCCCCGTCCAACGCAAGCAGAACACCCAATAAGGTATCATTTATATTGATGCAATCCCACAACTATTCAACTGTTCCACGTAGAGAAACATTGGTAAATAGGAGACGAACGTCGATAGAAAACGTCTCTCGGTAACTTACTGAGAGGTTGTTAAGTATTCGGCAGGATTCGAATGTGTCTTTCAAGCCTTCCAGGGTTAATGCTGCGGATGAGAACCAGTATGTCAGCCAGCCACCAAGCAAATTTATAGTAGTCACAGTTTTGTATGTTTAAAATAGGTGTTAATGCCCCGCCGAGTTTATAGAGCTTTGGAGAGCTCATTCAAGATCTTCGTGTTACAATAGGATGAATAATTTTGTGCATGCCCAAGTCGTGGGACTATGGAATCAACCGAGTGGCAACATTCATTGGTATCATGTCCAGGAAGGTCCTTATACCTTTGAGAATTTGGTTTTCACGAGAGACTCAACTTACTCTCTCGTTTATGATATTCTATACCTTATATCCTTATACCTTGTTTGTTCACATTACCAGAGTCAAGACTCACCCATATTTTCGTCGCCCATTTACCACTTCTTTTTATGCTTCCTCCCTGCTTGTCTGCAATTTTCAGCAGACATTACGCATCCTCTCGGCCGCCTCACTGAACCAACAAGCGTTGACCAATTCTCGAGGTTGCGTCCTACCACTCGTAGACAATCGTTGTGCTGATGCCAATCCTGGTATGTGTGTTGAATTGACTTTCCTTTTCTGCTCATTTACTCTTTGAATATTACACTTTGAACATTTTTCAACCCTCTTGCTCCTCTGCCGTTTGCTTCTTCACAGGTGCTGGCACATTCTCAGTTCGCCCACGTTTCCTTAGTCGGATGCACACATATGGAGGATCTAACAGTGTGGTAAGTTCCTACAATTTGATCTCTTTTTTCCTCTCTAACTTCGACCGAGTCTACTGCTCAGTTGAGAAGGCCCCCTCCTTCTCTGCAGTGTTGTGGACTTTGGTCGTTTCCAGCTATAGGCTGAATTACCGTTGTTTCATCACTCTAGTGATGAAACTCTAATGACTTGTGCGAATATCAGTAACCGTAAGTATGTGACCCATGTCGAAAGTGGTGCTCTGCCGATCAGGACGGGTTTGTCGACAAGTGGGTACGAGCAACACAATTCGGTTGGTCTAATTGGTTATTTGTTTTTAAATTGGATGCATGTTTGGTTGTTCCTTACTGAGACGTTTTTCGTTCGACCGACCTCAATGAGTTGAAGTTAGCTGTTAGGACACTGGCGCACCCATCAGCTCAGACCTACAGAATGGAGTATTTGGATTCAATCATTTCGTTTTCCAAGCTAATAGCACTTAATTCCGACCGAAGGTACTGAGGGTTGATTGGTTCCGCTGCTACAGATTCGGTATCACAGAGAGTAATGGAGAGGTACTCACACATTGGAGGTGGTGGTTCGGTTCCTTCGCTGGGTGCCAGTATTTTTCGACCAATGTGTGACAATCACGCATCGGAGGCAACAGCTCCGGTGCAGGAATGCTACCTGTTGCATGATCAGGTAGTCTATTCCGCCGTGTTTTGTTCCGAGGCCCCTGTCAGGGAGACCGCTGTCGTCAATGCGACTGATTTTGATTTTCAGGAACTTCACGCTTAGTTGGTAAGTCGTCGACTGACAACTCTTTGGTTCTTCTTGCCCTGTGCACGGTAAAATGAGCTCTGTGAGGCAGATATTCTTCCAAACTATTAAATAGTTGTATATAGGTAGTGCACTTCTCATAAGGTTGCTAAAAATTCTTCGACAGCCCACGGCCGGTTACGCCCTTCTTGGGGCTCATCAGGTAAGCGCACTCCCCGAGTTTCCGTCAACCTTATGCTCCACTTGAAACCGGATTGCACGAAGTTAGCGAAATACACTCATTTGCAAACAAATTTGGTTTTACGGGAGACTCAGCTGGGTTTCAGGCCAGCTGAATCTCTCGTTTGTAATGTTTCCAGACAACTGAATGTGGTGGCCGCCCCATATTTCAGCTGGTACGATATTCGAGATATCGCGATACACGTATATACGTAATGCACTACCCATACATAAGATTGCTGAAATTCTTCGACAGCCCACGACCGCTTTCGCCCTTCTTGGGGCTCATCAGGTAGGCGCAGTCTCCGAGTTTCCGTCAACCTTATGTTATACTTGAAACCAAATTGCACGAACTTAACTAATTGGTCAAAACAGTCTAGCCCCTGTTGTGCGCCGGTTCACTGATGAACGATAATTGGTCACCATTTCAGCAGGTCGATTAAAAATCTGGACAGTCCACTACTGGTTTCGCCATTCTTGGGTCTCATCAGGTAGTACTCGAATTTCTGTAAAACTCATTTGGTTCCTTGAAGACCAAGTGGCAATAAACGCTTATTTGCAAGTTCAGTTGGTGTTGCTGGGACACCTAGATTAAACACATTTGAACCCTGTTTTCGGTGTTGCTAACATCTTTGATGTTTTGAACTGCGGCAGTGAAGCATCAGTGTCCACACTGGTGTTGCTGTTCTTGATGATACTGATGAATATCGTTCTAACTGAGATGTCAGGAGGTTCTTGTGCTGCACATTCAGACGAATAATACCGTGAAAAAAGGATTCAGTTGACTCTCCCGGTAACACCAATTTAAGTGGCAAATCTTTCAATGAAATCGCAACTTAACCTCGACTGATACAGACTCACCAGGTCGCAACAGAACTCCCGCTACTTTTGAATGAACCGTCTCACTCACCAGTGGTAAGCATTTTTCTGCCCGTTACTCCTGCAGTTCAACACGGTCTACTCAAACAGAGGCCATTTTATGTTGATTCCACTAATACTGTGTGAGTAGAACTTCCAATCCTTGTATCAGTTATTCCTGTCACAGACTTTCAGCGTATTCCTTATACCCGTTTTCTCACAGTGCTCTCAGCCACCCCGGCATGTTACACCACCGATTGCAGCGAATCCAACAAGTACGTACATATTTACCTGTATGTATGTGGCTAGCTAGTATCGTGAATTTTGTTTTACTATGACTGATGTCGGATTCCTCTTTCCATAACAGACCTTGCATATATTTCACAGGAATTGAATCGAAGAATGCAATAACGATTCTTAGGTTTGGACTATATCTTTTCAGGGCAGATCTTACTGGGCGTTACGTTAAAGAGGCTGGTGTATCCTAGCCAGTAATATTACATGTAAAAGTGTGAACACCAAAACAGTATTGAAATCTGATGGGAAAGTTTTATTCATATATCCGTTCTCCTCATACAGCCTGCATTGTCTAATCTACTTGTGGCTCAGGTTGTTGATTAACTCTGTAATCTGAGGAGGATATCAGAGTTCAGATTTCTCCGATCCAATCAATGATTTAGATTTCGGCCAGAATGATTGGTTTGTCTGATGAGCCACTGCTTCTGGTGGAGCCCTAAAATCGTAGGTAAGGCTTCTTCTCAGCGTCCATTAGGACTCAACCAAAAGGTATTCTAAAGGAGTACGAGTGAAATTCATGTTTGACATTTCGAAGCCTATTCCTCTTGGCATCAAGCACCCTTCGGTTCATTATGTTCAGCCCGAAGCAAGCACTGGTGATGAGATATTGCAAGGTTAGGGTGACTTAAGCAAGAATAGTCCAAAAGCCAAGTGGTTTTTCGAGTATGAGGCTTTGTGTTCAGTAGATTGCGCCGTACCCTTTGAGTTGTGTCAACTCATTCCGTCAATTTTTCCTACCATTTTTCGCGTCATTGAATTTTTGTTTCTGTGATTCTCGAAACCAGCCGGGTCACTTTGCGCATTTCACATGGTGTGCTTTTTTGTCGCTATTTCAGCTACAACAGGCCTCTCTTTGGTCAGCCATGTGCCCACCGTGATTACAACAGTCGCCACTACCGAGCAGTCACTGGTTCTGGTTAGTTAACATTCACCTTTCTTTTTTTCACGCTTACTACTCCGCTAACTCTTGCCTATATATGAACTGCATGAAACTGATTTGCTGCGAAGAGATTGTCTTAAATCCAACGTGATACTCCTCTATCACATATGTCCTCACTGCTCTCGTACTCAGCATGATTTGACGAGATTGTATACATCATCTGTAACTGTCGTACCTTAAAAAAAGTGAGCTAAACATTTGTGTTGGAAAGTCACCGTGATAAACTATGGTCATGTTGTTTGTGCTTTGGTAATTTCAGGTAATTTTTCACTCATAAGTTGTTGCATAGTAGCGTACATTTACTTTTTGCTTCTTCAAGGTTTTCATCGACTTATGAATTATGGTGTAATCCTATTTGTCTCACCGTCACGTTCGTATGATTACCGTTAACCGCTCGTTCACTCCCCACATGATCTTTTCGTGCGTTTTTAACCTTGCTTAGGTTTCACAGAACCGACCGACCGCAATATCTCCACGCAATACTCCGGTGAGCATAGCGAGTAACCAAAGTAAGTTCTTTTGAAGTCTTGTGAACACCCATCATGTTTAGGTTCCAACTCTTCACTTTACTTTAGACTATGGATTGCTTGAATAGTACAGTTGAGAGACGTGCTAGTTGGTATGAGCTTTCCGTATCGGTCACTACCAACAGAATAAAGCATTTGTATGATGCGTGCACGCAGTTCCGTCTTCAAGGTGGATTCTGTTTAGTTGGCTCTCCGTTTTCAATTTTTTTTAACTGATCTTAACATCCGGTACTGTTAATAGTGTGATGACCCTTTGACTCTATGGATAGTTTACTTCTATACATTAACACCTGGGAATGCCCTTGGAATTGCTTAATCCGTGCCTTCTATTTTATACATCTGTCCATGTCAGCGTTTTCAATGGTCCTTTCGAGAATTTCGTCAGGAATGTCCATTGTCTTTATTATTATTATTATTATTATTATTATTATTATTATTATTATATTTATTATTATTATTCACTTTTACCATCGGCATCACGAAGCGCGCCTACTGTTGTCATATATAGCTACTCAGTGTACACCGTTTGATATCGATTGTGCTACACACCCATTCTCCTTCTTCAATCCGTTCCCTCACTATACTGACCGTGTGCTATATCATGTCCTCAGTAGCAGATTGGACACGGAAACAGCATCGTCGCATTTAAGGCTTCTTCCTCGGACTGTATAGTGTGCGGCACTTTACAAGGGCCCGTGAATCTGGTTGTCATGACGTCACTATTCTGTTATTTGGCGATCATGCAGCCACACAAATTACTCTAACCAAGGCTTTGAGTGTGTGCTCTGCATGTTGAACATCCAAGGTCTTCTGGATTTCCCGCTCTTGTATACCCATTTCAAACTTCAGAATGCGGAGCTTCAGTTTGTTGACAGGTTAACCTATCTTGACAGTTGCAAGATAGCTGTGTGGTTAGAGCGTAAATTTACCGACGGGAAGGTCCGTGGTTCGAAACCGACCTCCGAATCTCGACTTCCCTGTCTAGGCTTCGGCAACCTGGGAGTATCTCAGCCCTCGTGCTTCCTTCGTGTGGCATGGCAGCTAGGCGCCGAATGGGTGTTGCAGCTGGACGACGGCAGTTGCATAGGTCTTCAATATACGGTTGTGGATGTAGGTGGAGCACACATTATCAAAGAGTGAGCAATACGGTGGTCGTTGGCTTGTTCGCTGAGCAATTTGATTGCAAACGTTTCATCACCAATCGAGGTGACATCATCAGTGCGTTATTGTGGAGCGTAGTAGTGCGTAGCGTAGGGTTGGTGGTTGTGCTACCAACCCACCGCTACGCACTACTACATCACCAATCGAGGTGACATCATCAGTGCGTTATTGTGGAGCGTAGTAGTGCGTAGCGGTGGGTTGGTAGCCAACGACCACCATCTACGATACCTGAGCTACCAACATTTTCCTCTATAGTGAGCAGTATTCTCGAATGTGCATCTTTGGTGTCAAAAAGCAGATTTTCTTGAGGTTAAGTGATCATCAGTACAAAGCGACTGTGAGGGTGGTATCATTTTATGGGTATGAAAATTAGTGTGTCCGATCTGATGATCACAACTTTTCGGTCATCGATGTTTTCGCAACTGGCCGCAGCATGTCTGTAATGAAATGTTCCGCGAACATATACTCGGTGGTGAGTCTATCCCGCTGGAGCAGCAGGTAAGGTGTTCGAGGCATGTATTCATTACGGCCATACCACCGTCAACCAAAGAAAAATGTTTTTTACTGCAAATCCTTGTCGGCGATATGTTTACGGAGGACGTTCGCCGCGACGTGACACCGCGATATGCACACGGATATTCTCCGGTTAGACCCTTCATGTTTGACCTCACGATGTTCCTTTTGCGTGCGGTTGGAAACCCTCCAGAATGCGTCACCCAGCTGGAGCCAGTGGCAAACCTACTGTCACTTCCTAACGTGGATCGCGTAGCTGACGCTTGTCTGTTATCGTGAGCTAAGCTTTTATCGGATGACATTTGCCAGAGATCCTGGCCCACTAGCTTTGGTAGCGTCTTGATGAAACTTGATTCTCAGATCTGTTTATTCCAATGGTTTTATAAGTGTTTTCACGTTTCCCTTAATCGCTTTCCCTGGGTATAATGAGTCCCACTCCTCCCCAGCGTGCACTATTGGGGTATTACTGTATAGCACATCTTATGCCATTTTTATTATTGTGAAATTGTTTTCAAGTTATGCTGATGTGCATTTTCAAAGTATCAGCGCGGAATTTCGAGTAGCTGGTGAAGAGGCTGACGCGGATCGGGTTTGCATGCTACATTTGTTTTTCGTACATGGCAAGCGTAAAATTGATTCACACCAAGTTATATCCACCCATATTTGAGTGTTTTTGTTCAACGATGTAGGTTATCATTAATTGTGTTTTTTCCTCGACAGGCCCGCGTGGCAGGCCTAGGAAGAACCCTCACCCCACGCACATCGTAAGTGTTTTCCATAGACGACTCTCACTCACATTTGAAGGTGTTTTAAGACTGGTGTTGATTCAGGTGGTATTGCCTCTGCAACCCACTGGTTTCTGTTAGCCCTTATACGATGAGCCACTGAGGTCTAACATATTCACGCCGCAAACTGCGCGATGTTGCTTGTCTGTCGCCAATCAATTTCCGCATTCGAGTATTGAGAATTTTAATCGTTCTCTTCACTTTTGAACATCTTTTGCCCGGTCAGCTTTACTGATTGTCGGCAGCCTACTTATGTGCGGCTCGTCCTTCGCCGATCTGTGTTTTTACGTGACATGTTAAGGATGGTTGCAGAACCACTTGGTTATGTCATTCACGTTTTTGTGCCCTTTCTTTTATGTAGGTAACTGTACACATGTACAAGTATGCCTGATTTTTCGGCAACAGCATTTTATTACCTGATAGCTACTGGCCACCCAGACTCAACCACCAGGACAATTCTCCATCCATGGACAAGCTTCAAATGGCATCGTTAGACGCTTTCCAGCTAGCTTTTCGAGTAGTGCTGCATTGATTCAGAACTCAGACAATAATAGTGTTTGCAATTAGCGACAATTCACTCTGTGCCGTTTCGAACTAACCCCCGTCTTCACCCACGCTATTTGCTTGGTACAAGTATGACTTTGAGTCAAAACCTGGGATACACTCCTTCTAAGCCGTTGTGTGAAGTCTGTTTCCGGTAATGTGACTTAATGCACTGCTTGTAAGGAGAGTTCCGTGTACGATAGATTCAGCTAAGTGCCCCGTTGACATTAACGCAACTTACCTATGGGTGTATTTCATCTCAGGAACCTGTTCATCCTAGAACCTAAGGTCCTGACAAATCCATCTACTCCAGCTGTATGTGTTCCTTCCAATTAATACGACCTATGTGTTGGGTACGATCAGCGGCTACATGCGACTTGAGAACGAGTGCACAAATCCCCAGCATTTACGCGAACCCAACCATTCCTAGCGCAGAGAGAAAGAAGACCGGACTTTCGGAGGAGATCTTTTACTGTCCCAACCAAAGGCAAAGCACACACAAATGCAAGCAACCGGTTAATAAGTACGAAGCGCAGTCCATTGGGAATAATGTGCAACATGGCAAAAAGGGAAAGAAAATTAAAAATTCAAATTTCCATAGAGTAACTTTGGTAATAACTCAACAACTAAACGGTTTTGGGGGATGATGATATATCCAACAACCTGATTCCTTGTGAACCTCATACCTCATCATGCAGATGCTTATAAGATCCACACAGAAATGTGTTTCAGACATGCTAACTCATAGTAGGCAGTGGAAGTATTCGTTTGTTAACATTTGTCAACATCCGTCTTGTCAAAACAGTTACTACTGTTCAGCGGTAATTTGTATGCATTTTCTTTCTCTCCATCACCTCTACTCCTCATGAAGCCGATGGATCAGCTATCTATTGAAGCTTCAGTGGAATCTAGTGTACCATCAGGTGAGTAATTAATCGGTCATTTGTAGTTTTTGTTATGTTAGCATTCCTGACTGATACCTTCATACTGTTTACCTTTAGAATTTATGCTTTCTGGTTAAACACGCCAACGCTGTCTTTATAACTAGTTTATAAAATATCAGGACTATAGATAGCTTTAGTTTAAATGATTCAATATGTCACGCGCCTAGCTGCCCGCGCGACTATAGACCCATATTTCGATGGACACCCATCGTAGACCTCTTAAAACTGGAGGTCGATGTATGTTCTCCTCAAGCTAAAGCGCCTTTTAGACCATTACTCAGGGTGGATAATTTTCGAGTTTTCGGAGATGTCCGCTCCTGAGAGAAATCCAGTATTTATAAATTACTGGGTTCACTTTTATGAACTTTTCTTGGAGCACGTAGCACACGTTCGTTATGATTCCACTACTTTGTGCTTCGTAAAATGCCCGTTGGGTTAAAGGTATAATGGGTGAAATCACAGAGCGCCATGTATACAAGGTAGTATGACAGTAGCATTTCTACTCATTTATAGATTTGCATTTGCGTTTTCAAACGCTACCACCCCTCCAAGGTGTATTTTTTGCGCTCTATCTAATGCCGCGTAGCATCAGGTTACTGAAGAGCGATCCCCGCTTTGGCTTCAATTGATATCCAGAATTAAAACAATTGTTGATTTTCCGTGGTTGGTTTCAGGCCAAGTTGGTCAAACAACGGGATATGGGCGGCTCGCTACACGGCAGTCATCCAATCCTTAGCGTTTTTGGTAACTTGGCACTAGGTTCTTACTTCCCCTCACTTTTCATTTCCACACACCGTTTTTTGTAATAAAATAACAGTGGGACCGTTGTGTCGGTGAACTGTCGCAGCTGTCGTAGTTCCTGGTTATGAGGAGTAAACCCTAACTATTGCGATTTACCAACCTTCAACCAGCTTGACCCATCATCATCAGAACCTTCACCAAACTCCAACTAACACCTGCACTTGAAGCACCACTATCCTCGATTCTCTTTGGGTTATGTTTAGATAGCTAGCTTAATCTTCGACTAACTTGACCCATAGCGACCCATCCGTCAACTAGCGCTAAGACGTTCGATCCATAATTGAACGACCGTTTCATACGTCAATTTTAACTTCTAGGAAGCACCATTCAATGTCTTAAAAATCGTTCAGCTGTACCACCCTTTCGGTGCCTAACTACCATGCCACCAGAAGATAGTACGTATAGTCAGGATACTTCGAGGTTGCCCAAGTCTAGACAGGGGAACCCGAGAGGCAGATGTCGGATTCGAACCACGGACTTTCCGGTCGGTAAATTCGCGCTCTAACCACTGAACCATATCGCCCCCTTCAATTTCTTACTGAATTTCTGCTATTTCCCACCTTTCAGAAGAAACTAGCATAGTCGCTGTTCACTCGAGATTATTGTGGGTGCCTATGAATTCATTTATTGGTCTTCCCCGAATCTCCTGANCCTAGAAAGAGCGTTGGTGTCTCCTCCCGTAGCTATCCATTCTTCGTAGCCGTTTAGAACCGTCAGTGACCAGGAGGATCCCTAGTAGTATGCTGAACTATTGAGACAGGAAGTGCAAGTGCCATTCGGCTTGGACTAAGTCCGCCCGACTACACTGCGTACCCAACCGTATGTGCACATTTTCGAAATATTTCACTCTACTATACTAACCAGTACGACTGGGATGCCGGGAAAACTGACGGGACAGGCTGTCTCTACGCTGGAGCCAGAGGTATCGGTTCGTAAAAGTTTTGTTTGATGTCCGCACAGATTTCGCTGATTGATTACTCATCAAGAGTGACCTAGAAATTGGAGACTTTCAGATGCACTTTTCGGAATCTCGATTGTGTATTCATGGAACTCATGACTGATTAACTCAGCTCAACGGTGGAGATCCACATATACTAGTCCAGTTCATACTGTTGCTTGTTGGATCGGAGGATAACAGTCACATTTCATCACGCTCAGTTTTACCTCAGCAGTAGTATGCTCTTAAACAGAAAAGTGCACTTGTGTTATACGATTAGAAAGCGCACCGTAGCGCTGTTCGGGATAACCTACCGAAGTTTGTGCAGGACTCGGTTTACTGTCCACGAGCAACGTTCTACGGTATGACAGGATTGCAACAGACCTTCAGTGAATCGACTGCTTGAAGTGCACAACCAGCTAAAAACCCTGGTTCCCGCACGAACTTCCAGTTAGTATATGTCTGTTTTGCGTGTGAACAGTTAGGGTTTCGGTAATCGAGGGCTACGGAATGAGTGATTTCGGCAACGTTTTTTAGCATTCCCAGAAGCTTAGGAGTTCTATTTTAATAATTGTACTTATTGATCCAAGGCAAATCAATGACGTGCTGCTGTTGTGTGCCTATGAAGGAAACGAGAAAGGAATTATTTCTGTCGTAGGTTTTTGCCTAAAATTCCTCGCTCTCATCGTTGTTGTCCCTTGTTAGCCGCAGTAGTATCGAGCTCGAGTCGCACAACACCGCAATCGGTTTAAATTGCGAAACATTGGAAGAAGAGCAAACAAAAGAGTTTGAATATACGATTAAGCAAATACTGCCGTTAGTTTAACATCTATCCGTAGAGACATACACTATAAAGTCGTTTGATCTGTTTAGTGCTCAAAACTGAGGGGAAAATGTAATCAGGTCATAAGTGCGTAGAAGCGATATTATATTTAGTGAGTGTGACAAAAGAAGTAACTGAAGCATCTTGGACACAAATCCATACAAACCATACGAATACTCAGTTCTTTATCCATATAAAGTTCCCTCCTGGATAATGACGTTTTCCCCACATTTTTAGGAGGGAAGATGACTCTCGTTCAGTTTGTATTGCCTCATACAATACTCCCTGTTCTCTTTCTCCTGCGATAGCCCCTTCTCCGAAGCAACCTGTCTCTGAAACTGCATCCTTTAGGCACCGTTTGATGAAAGGGCTCCAATCACCCAGTTCATCACCGGTTGCCGTCTCATCCAGTGGTGTAGAAACCCAGTGTTCAGTGAAACTAACTGGAAATGCTGTTTTAATACCCCATACACAAGTCAACACAGCCGATGGTATGAGACGAACTGAGCCAGACCCAGATGTTCTACACAATTACAGCTGCACACAATGCGCTTTTACGTAAGTTTATAAATGCTCGCCCTATAGGATACTACATACCTCCTCACTGTTGCATTTGCGGCTGACCTATTTCTATGTAATAACTCTCCCACTACATCAGAACAGTAGAACAAGTCAAAATGAGTGAACTGGCTAATTCACTGCGTCTACGTCTAGTTTTTCATTGGTTACTGTTTAGCATTGATAAGTCTTTTTTTGCTGATTGGATGAGCCGAAGTGATTAAAAAAATCACAGGCATAGTTGATCACTAGTATTACAACTAGTTAGCGTGAGTTCTGCAGAACCCTTGCTCTTCAGTCTCTCTTGAAACCGGTCAATAGGGTAGTATTTCATCCAAATTAAATCGTGGGCTGTCATCGGGATTGGCCTGTTACACGGAAGGACGTCGATAGACCTCCACACACAGTGGATAATGCTACATTCAGTTTGTGCTGAGCCACGTGTGCACCCTATTGAACGTTTTATATCCGAAGTAAGACCGGAGAATGAACATATGAGGGCAGTTTTAAAGCCGTCACTATGCCCAACTGCTAGCCCGTAGTTATCGGATGTGGACACCCAAACAGACGAGGAGCAATGGATACGAATGGTGGTCCGATGACTCGTGAGACGCACTGAGGCACACATATACGGGCTACCTAGTACTAGGCGTCATGCTGTTTGGTCTGTAGGGTCATGGTCACAGAGCTACATGTAGCACCGATGTAGCATTAGCACTCAGAATCGCCAAGAGTTAGTAAAAACGAGTCCATAGAACGGAATAGTAAACAATACGATCCAATACAGCCAGCGTACGACAGGACACAATACAACAGCATGATATACAGTCCAGGAGAAAAATTATAATGCAGTTTATTTTAAATATGATACAGCAGTCAATGCAAATGCACAACCAAGTAATCGACGCCAGTGACTTTCAGCGGCAAATCATATCATAATCCAAACAAAACTTAGCTATATAAAGCCATAAACACGATTATGTGTATATAGTCGTTGCCGAGTTTTCATAGCACACACACGCAGCAGCCATAGTACAAGAAGAGGTCGGTAGAAGCAATGCGCATTGCTACTTTTAAAAGAATTGCTGCTGCGACGCCGACGTTCCTATGCTCATCATCAGTGACAGCAATGCGCAATGAGCTCCAGTATGGCATTAGGTTCCACTTCATCCCATCCCATTCAACTTAGGCTCGTGTTACTTAAGGCGTAAATGCGAAGCTTTTTCAACTTACTTATTAGATTCATGTGATCGATTCTATCGAACGCCCCCCCCCTCTGATCGCTTAAATATTTGCTGTATTTTATGTTACTCATGTATCCTTGTTTCACGGAGTATATGCATCGGCCTGCCCCCCCCCCCCCCCCTATTACAAACACAACCGGACTCAGGATAAAACGTCGTTAACCGCGAAGTTTAGGAAAAGAAGTGGAAAAATGGAATGAACTTAGAATCTTCAAGATAGTGAAGGGCAGTTTCCAGTGTCTCTACGGTATCTCTTCCGCTTAGAGGCCCGATGAAGATGGTTTGTTGGCACCAGTTGTGTAGGGCCATTTTATCGAAATCCCAGAGCCGTTCTGTATGTCTTGCCTCGGCTACTTAGTGTCTCTAGGGTTTTTTTCGCAGGCGTTGTTTCTAGCGATCCACTTTTGGATCACCTAAAGTGTCATTTTGTTGCCATGCTTATAGTCTATCTCATTACTTGCTTGTTGTTCAAGGGCCTCCCGGTTGGATCGCGTCCAGAGGCATATGAACCGTCGTCACTCGATCGTTGGTGTGTCACCGCGTCTCGTACCAGCTCAACTGAACACAACTTCTAATTTTCAGGGGCACCAACACCCTGCACTACATGCAGCCTATACTATCCCGGGACCTGTAATTAGTACTACACCCTCAGCATCCTCAGCGAACTGCCCTCAGATTGTTTCCTCTGTTAGTTTGTCTCCACAAAGACGTGTCCGAATCCCGCCAAGTATTCCTCCCGCCTCAACCTCTTCACACGGTGCACCCTATTTGTCTCTGTCGGTTGACATGAGCTTTGTACCACAGATTCGAAATATCGTCAGTCTATCTCCGCACAAGGCTGTCAACGTAACTCCGATGTCCAAACTACCACCACCCACCAGTTTTTACCGCGAGATTTTAGGTGTCCGCATCCCCATGGACCAAAATACACCCAGTGTGATTCCATTCGGAAGCGAGTGCCTCGTACGAGGTGTGGCTGCACCTCCTGTGGAGGAAGTATATGTGAATCTGGACTCTCCGGACGATAAGCCCTCACAGGATGAGCAACCCGTTATTGCGTCGACTGCATCAGAGCTCCTTGCTTCACCTTCTCCTTCAATATTAATTCGCCATGGTGAAGTGCACGGTGTTGTTGCATCTGGTGTGCAGCACCAACATGCAAGATCTATTACTGAACCCAATCTCCGACAGCAAATAGACGTTGAAACCCCTGCACAACCAGCGAGCAATGCTCCTATCATTGCCTACCGAACTCTCTCCAACAGTCCACCTGTCCCAGCTGTGCCTACCCTTCAACTCCAAGAAAATTCTGCCAGTATTTCAGTGTCACCAGGTTTGTTTTTTATTGTTGACCTCTTTCTCGTTAATGCGCTGTCAAGTCACTCGTGGGTCCAATGCGTGACTGTTTAACTTGAACATTCAGAAATACCAGCCTGTCTAAATTCAGTGCCAGTGTTTGCCTGCTATACAACCATACATAAGTAAGCCTTTCACCTATAGGATCTCTTGCATATGTAGCTACTGTGCAACCCACTGGAAACACTAGGTATTACCAAGTTGCCTGGACAGGAGCAATCGAAGCGTGAGGGTGGATTCGGACAACCAGTCCTGGGCTAACGTTATCTACAGACAGCTAAATGGTTAGGGAACATTCAAATGCCCATCTATGCTTGAAGGTGGAAAAGCACTGGAACCCTTTTTCATTCTTATTGGGAATCACCAGTAGTGCTCATCTCACGAAACTATGAGATGTTTCAAACCTGTGACCTGCGGACTAATAGGTATCTGCTTTTCAGCACAGCTTGGCCTCACCCATAGGACAGTATCTCAGAAGCAATCTGTAAGTGACTCAGAAGGTAGAATAATTCACACGACGAATAAAACTTCCATCTGAGAAGTGATCACTCGCTGAGCTATTCAACAGCTTTGTATGCTGTATTAAGACAACATAATTTTCGTGTTGGAACAGCACAGCTTCCCTCTACCTGATCGTTGCATAGGATCTCCTGCTAGACATCACTCAACACGCCAACGATGGGCAAGTATTAGGCAGTAGGCTCAGGTGATAACATGCTCATCCAAAAATGAGCGGTCACAAGTCATGGGGTTCCCAGTCACCTAAAGGGGAAAATAACCGGAATTGCGGTTTGGGAATTCAGTTTTATACCGCTCGCTACTATCCAGCTTTCCTCAATTTCCACACTTCAAGGTTTTGGTAGGCCGAAGATCGCCGTTATTTTTCACAGGTAGTAGGTAGGCCGACGTTTGGATTGGTGCTTTTTCTCGAACCTCGAGTTCTATTTATCATTTAGTGGTCGGTTATTCCATTGCAAGATCACTAATTCCATTTCCTAGTGGTGATATCCAGATAGCAAAGTCGGTTGAATGTTTAACCTTTAAATCACTGTCTCAAAGGTTGTCAGTCATGAGGCGGGGAAAATATTCAGTACACGGCTATAGTTTTTTTAAGGTCCTTCGCTTTCAACGCCGCAGTTAATACAACTACTAATTTGGGGTTCACCGTAAATTAATAAGTGATCGTTCAGCTATGATAACTTTAGATGGGTAGCTGCCATTTGACACAACAGAAACCCGATGGCTGAAATATCCCCGAGTTTCCCAAACCTAGATGGGAGCAGTTGAGGAGCTAAGGTCTGGTTTCAAAAAACATCTCGAGCTGTAGTTTCACACCATAACCAATCGAGGTGTCTCGTGCTCTTGGCCTCCGCCTTCAACGAGTTCATTGTCGCGTTTATGTGTCATCCTGATTTCCTCAATCCGTTCTGTTGAATAACTGCGTCACACCTCAAATTAGGTACTTCGAATGTGAGTTGAACGTAACTGAGTCCTTAAATTGTTGAAAATAAAGTCAGCCCTGATGTAACTGGTGAAAATTCCTTTGTTGGCTTCCAACAGACCTGAGGCGGCAAACACGTTGATAAACTACAACTTTGTCAACCGGATATCGTACGAAGTTCATCTGAACAGTGCTCGCTCTCCAGGGGAGACCAGATAATCTTTTCATCAGTGATAGGAGGGATCGCTTTAGTACCTACGCATAAAGACCTCTATGGAGAGGACTTCGCCCTAAACATAACCCAGTTTCTTGTTCATGATTGTGGCTGAAAGGTAGCCTAGTTTAGAGCTACGATCTTCAGTCCAATTATATGCTCGTCATCCTTGACATTACCCCACCCAATCAGTTCTTAATCTACCTTGGATTTTACCTAAGTTTATCACTAACGTTGAATTCTAACTCGTGCTTGCAATTACCTGGCGTTTTCCTTAGCCCATCTGTTTGAAACGGAACAAGCTGCCTTCGAAACTCTATGCATGTCTAGTGCATCCCCATCTCCTCGTCACGGCTGGGTCTTTGAATCCGACTCGCAAGAAGCAGCACAATGTGTATATCGGATCGTGCGCGAAGGCGATACTTCGGCAACAGAGCAACCACCAAAGTGAGTGGTTAAGCTGCATTTACTAGTGCACGGAGAGCATATTGCCCGGTCGCCACTGTTCTTTTTCTGCTTACTTTCCTGTTTGAGGCTGACGAACTAAGCCAAAAACGAAGATCGTAGTATGTCAGACTGGAGATCACTATCCCTTCTTCAGACACATTGAATGCACATTGCGCATATTCTTGCTCACACGCGACATATGCGTATTCGGTTCGATGAAGTCATACATCTGTTCGATCATTTCTTCTAATGTTTTTCCATGGTTTATCGTAAGCCCATTTTCCAGGTTTGGATGCATGTTACGGCAATTCGACCCAACCGTTCTAGGGTTTATAAAATTGTTGAAGCTGCTAAAATGAGGACAACAACATTTAGTCGATGCTAACAGAGATCTGAAGCAAAAGCGCGCACATTGATGGAGGGGGAAATCATCTCAAGTCCAGATTGGTCAGTCTACCGTCGTATCTTGCCTATTTGTGATACTTATCCGCTGCGCTTTTTCGTCAGTCAAAAGACAGGTTCGGAGAACATTTTCTAAATATCCTTCAATATTCCGTAAAAGACGAAGAGGCCCTTTGCCTTAGCTCATACTTCCCTCCCTCCCCCAATTCCAACAACAAATCGTCGAGGCCACTTGTCTGTACGTGTCACTTGGGGGTTTATATATCAGCATCATCAAAGCATCCTCTGTGCACCAAGCCGTACCAGGATTTAGCTCACCCGCAAGAAGCTCAACTAAAACTCAGGACGTCCAATCACTCCAGTATAGATTGGCTTCATTTAACGACCGAAATCTTAACTTAATATCACAATATCTCACTACCATCCACTTATAAGTAGCACAAAAAGTGATTTTACAAAATGTTTGAAAGCTCCATCTGAGAAGTTATCGCTTGAAGGACCGGTCAGTACATGACCACGTGATGTGATTCGTGTGATTAAAGGATGTGTTTAAGTGTTTAAGTGAGAGAAATGAAAAATTAAAATGGAATCGTCCAGCTGTAGCACCCTTTAGAAACCTAGCTGCCCATGCCAATAGGAGGTACGAGGGCTGAGCTGCTGCCACGTTTTCCAAGTCTAGATAGGAGCAATCGGTACGCTGAGGTTGGGCTCGAACCACGGACCTTGTTTTCTGTAAGCTGACGCCTTAACCACCGAGCTATTTAGAGTTCTGTGGGAGTTGATAACATTACTGTTCAGCCGCTGGTCGCCGAACAACTAAGCGTTCAACCACTGACCGGGAGGTCTCGGAATCGATAATCCATGTGTTTATGTGAGACGAACGCTACTGATGATTCCTAATCAGAGTGAAACAGGTGTACAGTGCTTCTCGACTCTTCAGCTTAAATTAGCTCCACTTACAGGAGGAAAGTTGCGAAATCTCGCACTACCATCCATTCTGATTGGGTTGTAGACCGTTCGGCAACATGCTTACTGTTTCGGCACCACGTGGCGGTGCTTCGGTAGCATTTCGCGCCGGTCATTTCTTGACCAGTCGATTGTGGACATCCGACATCCGTCGTGTTCCCAAAGTGTCACGCAAGTGTTTCCTTGCTTTAGCTACTTGGATATAGTAAGTAGCATATAATTAACCCTCATTTAAGCAAATTTGCTCTTCGGTTGTTCGCGACGGTAAAAAATAGGCCACATGCCCTATTCGGCACTCAACATCTCGTCTGTTGAACGTGTACGTTGAATGTCTCATGTGGGAAACTTCAGACTGCGGTAAATCCCAGGAAACATGACTTGTATGAATGCACAGTGAGGTTCGCCTCCGTCCGTACGTTAGAAGCTCAATATAACTGAGTGAAGGACCATTCAAGATATTGGCTTTTTCAGCAGTTCTGGAAATGTCGATCCCTCTTTTCCAGAGAGTCATACCGTAAGTTTGAGCACTGACTGAAAAATAAGTGAATAACTCTCGATATATTTGTGACGAGTGGATTAGAGTTACATGTTCTAAATGTATTGTAAAAATGAATTACCGCATGGGGGAACCCTCTTGGTCAATCCTACAAACGCTCCATTTACCGAAACAAGTTTATTTCATTACTTGATATATGGGCAGTCTAGGCAGTTTGGTTGTCGAAACAGCACGGTCTCTGCAAAGACAGCTTCTCCAATCCGATTATATGGCAATGCGCTTTAGCATAAGCTATGAGTTTTCCTATTTTTAGATTTGAGTCTGCCTTCTAGAAATGTCTTTCAGACTAGACTATGCTGTGTGTGCTGAACGGCGTTTTTCGTCATAGTTTGGTTTCGGAGTGAAACAACGTAATCGAGGCAACAAACCACGACGTTTGTCTGTGCATTGGAATCGCCAATCTATGAAACGAAAAATAGGATTTTTAGCCTAGAAAACGGAAATTCTCAGTCCATGAAATACGGGACTCTGTGTGACAATTTGTATGACATCATGGGTATCCTTGGTTTGGACTTTTTCAACAAAGCCTCGCGTTCTGTTTTCACTCCAAAGAAATCTTCGTCATTTTATATGTCTATGTGCATTTATTATGCAACTGCCTTCGACGCACACGTATTCCGGGGTTGCGAAATCCGCTGGAAGTCAACCAAATCGCTTACTATATCGTATGCCTCAACAGCGAGTTGAATTCAAACCCACTTCCCTTGCTTCTACTGAGTCTAACTTGCCAGCATAATGATTCCATCATTTCTTACTTACTGATAGTTGCTTATGGCCTCCTTAGCTGCTGTTCCACAAAGGTCGCCCCGTCCGACACTGGTGTGCCAGCATCTCTGTGTTTGTTTATGTTACTCATTCGATTTCCTGTTCAGACTGCTGGATCTATTCTGAATTGTCCTGTTACGATATCCGTCTGATCGCACCGCAAATCAGAACCACAAGGTGGGTCAC